ATTATTCTCCAATAAATATTTCATTTAGTGAAAGTTAAATTATAAACTTTCAATTATTCATTGTTGTTAAACTAAAAGAATTATAAAAGCAATTACTATTTCAGGAATTAACTAAAAATCATAATTATAACAAATTAATTACTTCATAATAATAATAATAATAATAATAATAATTTAATATTACTTATTTCTAAATCAATACACACGTAATAAGAATATAATATTAATAATAATATACTTATTATTATTATTATTGATTCCATAATTATTAATATATTAGTAATCTATATTACTCAATAAAGACATGGAATAAAAAAATATTCAAATTACCAATAAATGAATGAACTAAAAATCTATTAGTATTCTAACTGACTTGAATTTGACACATCAACATGCCCATAATTATAATTTCAACCTACATTTCCTATTTTTTTCTCCCAATTCCAATAATTCAAACATACCATTAATCATAAATTCTAAAGATAAATTCTAGCCAGTCTACGTGAACTGTGGGGAGCTTAGACATTAATTCCATAACCATGACTGACCAAAAGAAGTGTTGCCACCTAACTTGGAAGTGACTTCCATACTCAAGATGGTCCCATTATTCTCCTTTCTTTCATGTTTCCTTTGTTGGATGGGCTTTGGAGTCTTGATTATATTATCAGTTGATTGTAGCTGTACATGATAATGATTTGATTGTAATCAAATATTTTTCATCTCTTACTCCAGAGGATGGATGCATCTGCAAATGCTGTTTGGTATGGATTGTTTTTCTTAGCAACTCTTTGAATGATTTTCTTCCTTCTTTGTCTCTTTGAATGGATATCATTTAAATGCTTTTTATCCATTCATATGTCCCTAAATATTGGTGATATTGTTGTAAACATCCATCTAATTTTACTATTTTATAAATATATTAATGATTTCAAATTTGTTGATACTTTTTGGGGGTGGGTTGCTCAACAGGACATTGATTTTTTATTGTTAAATAGTAAATTTCAAATTAAATGATATTGTAGTTGCCCCGTACTTAGTATGGGGTCATTGTCTATATAAAACATGGTAAGTCTCTTAAATCAAATAAAGAGCCTTCCCTAAATTAAGTAAATAATACTAACAATTAATTATTTATAGAAATAATTAATAATAATAACAATCATCAAGTACTTAATTAAGTAAATAATAAAAAACAAAATAACAATCATCAATTATCATTAATGTTAATTAAAAGCATGCCCCATAATAATTACTGAATACATTAATTAAACCTTAAATAAGAATCAATATTTATTAACAGTCATTAATGTTTATTCTTAAATGCAAAATATGAATTAATAGATCTATTCTATAATAATTATACTCGGTTTGAAAAAAAAATATTATAAGTAATTATTTAAATAATTACAAATTTAGTTATTATTATTACTATATTACAAGAATTTTAAATTAAATACTAAAATAAATTAATAATAATAATAATGATAATAATAAGAATAAGAATAAGAATGGTTAAATTAATGTAATAAACGGTTCAAGTTGAATTTAATGACCTGTATAATTTTATGGGTTTGACACATAAGGGTCAATTTATGTGGACCCATAGATTGTATGAATGTCTTAAAAATGGCAATTTATAAGTAGTAATAAAAAATGGTAATAAAAATCATTAATGCTTATTCATATATATATATATATATTAACTTCCCCGTACTTAGTACGGGGTCATTCACTAGTTTACATTGATAATAAGATGTAAAAGTACATAAATAGAAAAGAAGTAAATTTGCATTCAAGTGGGCTTTTGATAAAAAAAGCATATGCTTTATTGAAATTCACGTTTGCATCCACTACAACTAAAAGCTTGTTTGGTAAGAAGGTAAATTTGTCAGTGCAAAACTAACCCAACTTTGCAATTTATATGAACCGTTTTACACTCTACATATTTGCATTCACACTTGATTGCATCGTTTCCAAACACAGCCTAAAGAATGTGATTTTTTCACCCGCAATTGAACTAGAGGAGACATTTTTATAAAAGCAACGAGACACTAGAAGCCCCAAACGTGACTAGTGAACTAACGACATGTACTCTCTCTTTGCTAGGATTTTTCTTGAGCTCTATGAGAGATTTACTCCATGGATCAGCTCTCCCTCTTGCTAAACTCCAATTCACCACCAAGGCATTGTAGTGGGAAGCCAGTCAGAACCACCCAAGACGTGTTGACATGGTTGAGTGCAATATTGACAAATCAGGACACTTGCGTTGAAGGACTGAGCAACATGAATGGATACACGAGGAGCCAGATGGAGAACCGGTTGAAGGATATGACGGGGCTAGTGAGCAATTATTTGGCCATCTTCGCGTACTCGGGAGGGGACCAAGACTTCTCCGACGTTCCCATACAGAAGTGGTGGAGATTGATGGAAAGCAGTAGTGATTTTCATAAGGAAGATGACATGCCAACGTGGTTAATAAGGAGAGAGATGAGGTTGTTAGAGATACCGGTGTCATCGATTCAAGCAGATAGTTGTTCGAGATTACAATAGTCACTGCCAATGACTTATGGCAAAATCAAGGCATTTTTTACCATAAAAAGGTAAGGGTATTTTGAAAATTATAAATCATGTGATGTCACATGTGAACGGTTTATGACAGAGCATTAACGGTATGGGAGGTTTTAGACAATTGTCAGAAACAATAGGAGTAGCGCAAGACATTAGTTAAATAGTGGGGTATAATTAGTCAATTAGCTAAATCATAAGGGTAATTTAAGAAATTTGCCAATTATTCAAATAGGATCCACCTTCTAACTTCCTTCTGTTAGAACATGATTTTTTTTATAAGTTGCAATATCAAGGGCTGATTTTTTTCTTTATTTTTTTTTATAATCTAAAGTACTAGTTATAACATTTAGATTTATGAAACAGATGTATTCAAAGTGATAAATTTGTAAAATGTTCTCCTTTTAGATGGTATGATAATTCAAATAGTTCAACCGCATTTAGATGCATGAAAAAAAAGAAGGGCTGATTCTACCTACGTAGCTCCCAAAACTATGTCAAATCTTTATTTATTTTCAATAGGGGTGCAATTTGAGCAGCCCAATCCGAGCCCAAACTGATCTAACTCACAAATTTACATGGGTTGAAATCTCATTTTTGGTGTTTGAGCTTGGCATGAGCCCAAAACCTCAGGCTTTTTCATTTTTTACATAGGCCCAGGCCTAATCCTTTGTAACTTTGAGCACCGCCTGACTATACATGTATACAAGCTTTTTATCTCATAATTTTAAATTATTGTGCTATAACTTTTAAGTACATTGGGCTAATTGGTCTAGTGAGCCCGATTGCCAACTGAGTGTATAAAATTTTTGTTCAAACTGGGCTTGAATTGGACAGATTAGACTTGACCTCATTTGGCCTAAAGTACTAGGGTTTGTTGGGCCTAAAATGGCCTTAAACCCAATCCAGTTTATACCCCTACTTTTCAAATATTAAAATTCAATTTCACCAAACATCACATTAATTTGGTTGAACTTCATATATTATACCATTTAATCATATAAATTGCCTTTATTTTAACTAGTGGAAGGACATATACCATGCTTGCTGTACTTCTTTAAATGCCTCCATTCATTTATTGGATTTAAAGGTTGAAATATTTATAAACCATTAATGACAAATATTAATATTTGATGCTATAAAGTATTCTAATTTAAGTTTTTTTATGTTAATTACATGAAGCCAAATTAAGCATAAGGAGAAAGGTTTTAAAAGGCTAAGGGCAGAGGCAAGGCGGTTGGGTGTTATTGGGGCGAGGCATAAGCCTCGAGCATAAAAAACAAAAAAGAAGTATATAATCCATAAAAAATAAAAACATGAAAAACATAAAACTAAGATTTTATATGGCTTGTTTGATATCTTAGACATTGGTTAGAATCTTATTAGAGTAGGGTTTTCCCTTAAATTTAAGCACCATAAGAACAATACCATGTAAATTTCAGTTCAAGGATACGAATTAAGAATAAGGAATTTTAGTTTTGTTTCTTGCACTTGTGTACATTAGTGAAGAGTGACCACCTATGTGATGCATACTTTAGAATAAATAAATTATAAGAATGGGTAAATGGAAAAGTAAGTAAGAATAAAGTATGAACAATAGAACATGTTATTTTCATATATATATATATATACATTTATGATTTTATTTGTTATTTTTATATTTATTTATTTGATCAATATGTCAATACATATAAAATAAGGTATTTTTTTTCTTTTCTTGTCTTAAATTTCCATTTTAACCCAAAATAATCTTTCATATTCAAACAACATTAACTTGCGGGCTTCAAAAAAAAAAAAAAAACAAACATTAACTTGCTAAATAGTTGAGGCTAATGGCCAAAGGGATAACGTCAAACAATTCAAGGAGTAAGCTTTGATGGTAGAGTCTAGGCTACTAAAGACTAGGCCAGGCTTTTTTCAAGCTTCAACTTCGCCTCAAGGCTTAATCGTTTGGCTCTTTGGCCTCGCCTCAATAGCTCTTTTAGAACAATGAGTGACCACTCTACAGCCGCACATCGAGAACATCTCCGGTGATATATAACATAAAAAGTACGAGACATGTTCCGATTGTGCGACTGCATTGTGGTCTGGGTAGCGGATCCCAATTTAACGGGCCTTATATCTCTCATACGTTTAAGCATTTTAGCATGCAATGAGTATGCATTCGTGTGGAGTCTAGATCACAAGATCAACATCTCATAGCCGCACATCGGCAACATTTATCGTACTTTTCGTTGTAATTAACAGATATTCCCGATGTGCGGCTGCGTTGTTACTAGAGTTCAGTGGAACAGATGCAGCAGGTTTGGGCAATTAATTCACACACCTGATACCCCGCCTTCGCCGAAAAAAGGGCCCACGATTTCCTCTCGCCCCTTTGGAGGTCGAAGTAAGGACAAAAAAATTTAAAAACACATATAAAGAAAAAACGTACGAACCTAGAGAAGAAGCTTTGCATCATTGCAGAATCAAACTTCACAGAAATCCAAATTCCCACGAAAAAACATCACTCCACGTTCACACCAAAATTAATTCAGTCACAAGGGTTTTCTTCTCCATCTTTCCTCTAACTCGGGGACGATGGATAAACGCTCAGGTGATCAATCCGACACAAATAAATTGGAGGGGGAGCATTCTTCGGAATACGCGCCGTATCCGAAACTTGATCCGGAAGATGTTGCTCCCCCCCCGCAGGAGAACGGGGACGGGGGCACCTCGGTAGTTGGTTCACAATCTCATCCTTCGACAAACAATAATAAATCGACGTCTCCGGCGCCACGGAAATCGGTCAGTTGGAAATCCGAATTGACCAGCGAGACCACCCCTTCTTCACTCCCTGAAAATCGTGCCACCAATTCTTACGTTTCTTCTTCACCTGAGGCGTCGCCGTTATCGTCCGTCAAGAGTGAGTATTCCTCCGTTCACGTTTTCCATCGCAAGTTAGGGTAATTGCAATTCTAATGGTTATTATTGCTCATAGGATTATTATTCTTATTTCTTTCTGAGATTGAAGCCATTCGTATTCTTTGATTTTCCTTAATTGGATATTGCATTTTTCTTTCTTTTTATTTCTGAATAATACAATGTTCTGATCAGAGACAATGGATACGGTTCGCGATGCGCTTTTGAGGTGGCGTACGAAGGTGGGAGAAACCTCCAAGGCCGCAGAGGATCTGGCCGAGAACGTTTGGCAACACTGTGAGTTTCTCTATTTTCAATTCTCTTTATTGCCTTTAGTAGAATCGACTAAACGTCAACGAATAATCGAAGTTGGCATTTTTTTTCTTATTCTTGTGCGCAAAGCTGGCATGCTTTTCCCCCACGATTGGAAGTGTGCATTTTGAAAGAACTAAGTTAGCCACTGAAATGTGTTTTTAGTTCTCCAATAAATGGAGTCGGAATGATTTCTTTTGGATCGTGATGGAGATCAACAAAAGTAAGGAACACTTAATTGTAAATATGGGGAACATTTGCCTGTATAATCTATATAAAAGCTTTCAATAAGAAACCTTACTTGTTGGGATATGGAAGATGGCAAAATTTTGGAATTTTACAACTGTAATATTTCAGCCATCTCAATTCTTAGACCATAATATTTCCGACCTGTTAATTCTATCTTGGACTATTCTTTGAGGGTATCTTTTTATTCCCTGCCTGAAGATTTGCTGCCTACTGTTGGAAATGTTAAAGTTCTATTTGGAGAATACACAAACCTGATGAACTAGAGGCTCACACGCTTGGGTTTCAAGCAATATTTGTGCTTCCAATAATGTTGAGACATGTGCTTCTACAGCTTTGGTGGCTTTAATGCCAGAAAGCCTGGAAATTTGATCTGGGAAGGCTCATTATTACCTTATTGATTTTTCAGAATGTAACTTAATGTAGTTGTGGGGAACAAGATTTGGTAGCACAGCAGTTGTCATCTCCTTTGGGGTTTGTTGTAATCTCCAAGTAGCCATTTAGGATGTTTGCAAGTTTGATGTAATCGGATCTTCTCATAATAAGGATAATTTGGAATATGATTGCTTGGTCTTTTCTCAATGTATTAAAGTATGTAGGAGAAGAATAGCAGGCAGGATGTTTGATAGTGCAATTTTTTTTGTGGAGTTGTGATGTGCACACATTTTTGCTGGTTTTATGTGATGTTTGGGGTTGGTTTTCTTTTCTTGCCATGTTTGAATTTTAGGGGTGTCAATCAGTAAATTGTTACCAAGTACCTGACCTCAATCACCAAGGAAGGGTATATGGGTCCAAAATATTGGATGTGATCAATATTTCTTGACATCTTTTAATTAGATAATGTGTCCAATTTTGGTTTAGTTAAAAGCTGCACATAGATACATTAGTATATGAATTCTAGAATTTATTGAAGCTAAATGTAACTGTTAGATCGAATACAATAGGAGCCTTGTTCATTGCCTTAATCTTCTGAAATCCAGGGCCCCTGCCTTTAGATTGCTAAGAGTTATCTAGTGAGTTTGTCTGTTCATTTGTCCTTTGTTATTAATAAATATTGCAAGAGTCAGATTAATGAATTGAAGTGACTCCAAAGGGAGTTAAAGGAGAGAGTAAGAGACATTAATGCATGCTTGAAGTCATTACCGTGCATGTTTTGGTGGTTGCTAACCTAAAGTTTGCTTTTGAAGTGTTCTTATTAATGGTACAAGATATTATTTTACTCGGATTGCTGCATGTTGCCCTTGAGTTATGACAACTTGGCATGTATAATGTGCTGAGTTGTGACTGCATTGAAATCCTAGTGTTATTTCTGAATGTTCTCTTTTGTGAATACTGGTCTAGATATATCCTTTGAAAGACCAATTTCCGGCCCTTTGCTATCTCCACCTTCAAAAATGAACCAGTTGCCACTTTCCTTGTACCCTCGAAATCAACTTCTGGGTTTGGATGGAACTTGGGTTTGAGAAGAGTTCTCAGGGAAACAAAATTGGATAGTACCTTAACTCTCATGTCCATTCTTGATGGGGTTTTCTTGGAGCCTACAAAAACAGATAGCAAGATCTAGACTTTGTCTCCTTCAGGCTCCTTTACTTGTGCCTCCTTCCTCAAAGCCCTAATACAACCGACAGTTCCTATTGGCTTGTCATTTGCATTCCCTGCCAAAGAAGTGTGGTGTCAACCTATACCTCCGAAGGTTGGGAGTTTCTATTGGGAAGCTTTCCTGGAAAGAGTCAACATAGATGATTTGATTCAAAGAAAAAGACCCGATATTTGTTTATCTCCTCACTGGTGTGTTCTTTGCAAAGCTGCTGGTGAGTCTGGTTACCACTTACTAATATCTTGTGATTTGGCAAAAAGTATTTAGGAACGGTTTGTTTCTTTGTTTGGGTGCAGGTGGATTTCCCTAATGAATGTGCAAAGTTTGTTCAATTCCTCTTCTATCAACTGCCCAACAAAAAGGTTAAGGATCATGTGGAGATGTGTGAGAGCTGTTGTTTGCTGGACTATATGGGAAGAAAGAAACTCAAGGATTTTTTCAGAAAAGGAGAGAAGGTTGGAAACTATGCTAGAAGTAATCAATACAAGGGTAATACATTGGTTGAATACAATGGACTTGTTCACAGATTATTCAACGGATGATATGTTAAGAAAATGTAAAGAAATTGCAAGTTCAACCTCAGTTAAGATGATCTCGAATCCCACCTGGAACCCTCCACCTCTTGGTTTTATCAAACTAATGGCAGCAGCATGGGGAATCCAGGGCCTTCGGGTATTGGGGGGTGCTAAGAGATGAGAAAGGGAATGTAATAACTATGTTTTCTGGCCCAATTGGAATGGGAGACCTTTGAGGGCTGAGGTGTTAGCAGCTTTGGAAGGGGTACAAAGGGCTAAAGACCTGAATGTCAAGAAACTGATTATAGAAGGAGATTCTGAGATTGTAGTGAACTGGCTAAAAGAAGACACCTCTAAGCTTTGGAGCTACAGCAATGAAAAGAGAAAATTCAAATGGCTGATCAAGAACATGAAAGTTCAGTGTACTTGGGTAAAGAGAAATGCAAGCTCCTTTGCTGATGGATTAGCTAGGCAAGGGGTGAATAGGGATTCTGGTTTCTGGGATCAGTTGTAATTGTTCTTTTCTTTTTGGGTGCCTGCCCACTTTCTTGGGCAGTTAAGATACTTTAGGTCCTCTACTTTGTAAGCTTATTCCTATTTATTGAAATACTGGTCTAGATATCCAGTTTATACTTCTAAAAGATAATTTTACATGCATTTATTACCATTATCAGGAAATCTTGAAACTAGAAAGTCTAACCATGCCAGACACTTGTGTACATCACCATGTTAACACTTATGGCACGTCATGTACCATCTTGATGATGCTCCAATCTGAAGTGACCAAAATACCTTGGCACCTACTATTCATAAGCTAGATATCATGAGAAAGGACACATTCAGTGAGGAGGAAACACTTTTTCTTTTTTATTTCTAGTATACTTTAGAATTATCTATGTAATTGAATATTAATCATGTGTTTCTCTTCCATGTTTTAGAACAGACACCTGTGGAAACTTGAGTACTTGGCACCCCTACCTTGTTCCAAGGTAGCACAGGTTACTGTTAATAGAAGAATTCTAGGTTTGGAAAGATGTCAATCTTAAGTGTGCTTACTCAAATTCTTGGCAATACTGTTTCATCCTGTGTTTCCATCATATATTTCTTATTTTTCTGGAATATTTTCCAGTTTGTTTCTGAAGTATTTGCTAATATTTTTGTTAGTTCTTGTTTTTTGATAAATATTTTTGTTAGTTCTTGTTAATTAGAAATTTCCTTTTTGTATCATAAGCAACTATGCTGACAGCCTGCTGATAAATCAGTGAAAACAGGACCCAGTATTGCTGATGCTGCCATGGGAAGGATTGCTCAGGGAACCAAAGTTTTAGCAGAAGGTGGTTATGAGAAGATCTTCCAGCAGACCTTTGATACAGTTCCTGAGGAGCAACTTCAAAGGTCATATGCATGCTACTTATCAACATCAGCTGGTCCAGTTATGGGAATTTTGTATCTCTCCACAGAAAAACTCGCATTTTGTAGTGACAATCCTCTTTCATATAAAGTTGGAAACCAGACTGAGTGGAGCTATTATAAGGTATTATGCTCTCTGCATGCTTTCTCAGTTTATGGGATAAACAAAGCTTATGAACAGAGGGTTCCACCTCGCTATTTCTGTCTCTATTAGCTACTGAGCTTTCTTTTAATTGGTAGTGGAAAAACATTTTTCATTAAAATATAAATTGTGCAGGGCATAGATGATTGTGGATATGAAGTTATTAGTTCACCAAAAAACAAACTAAACAAAGTAAAAACTACATGGAATTTCCCTTAGTATAGTTTCAGTCCCAACTAAAGCTTCCTCTACTTAAAAGTTAGTTGAGCGGTTAGTTCAAACGACCACAACACTTCCATGCAACCCCTCCAATAAAACACAAACATGCTATTAATCAAATGTAAACCAAATCACCCAGTGAGTGCATTTATTTCAATAAGTTCACATGGTCATTGTACTTTCTTGCAACTTTATAATAAAACACAAAAATGCTAACAATCAAATGTAAAATCAAATCACCTAGTGAGTGCATGCCTTTTTCCTGAAAAAATAAAGACCACCTGTAAGGTGTACTTACTATGACAATCAAGAATTACCAAGATAGCCTAATATGTGTTGTGATGTATTCACATGTTTGCAATAATTTCCTGTTACTCTCCAACAAAACATTAACTTGCTATCAATCCAAAGAAAAGTCAAATAATCTAATGAGTGCATGCTTGGGTGATTTGATTTTGGTGAGTTCACGTGGACACGACACTTTTTTTTTTTTGTGATCCTCCAATAAGTAACAAACATACTAATAATCAAATTTAAAACAAAGCTACCTTGTGAGTGCATGGTTGAGTGATTTGGTTTTGATTAGTCCACATGGTCACAACACTTTATTGTGATCTTCTAATAAAACATAGACATTCTATTAATCAAACGAAATACCAAATCACCCAATGAGCACATGCCTGTTGTTGCTACCTTAGGTAATACATGAACTAATTGCTATTATATGAAGAAAAAGAGCGACTATTTCTAGGGTCCACTACTTTACTAGGAATATCAAGAAATATGAAGTTAGCCTAATATGTGGAGTGATGAGTTCACATAATCATTATACTTTGTTATGACCTCCAAAAAAGCATAGACATGCTATAAGTCAGTCAAAGAATAAACCAAATCACCCAGCGAATGTGTGCCTTAGTGATTTTGTTTTAATGAATTCACAGGGTCACAACAACTTCTTGCAACCATCCAATAAAACACAAGCATACTATTATGAATCAAATGAAAAACCAAATAACCTAGACCTCAAAAACATTGAAGCTGCTGATGGTTTGGTGTTAATTCATCATTGGTGCCCCTTGTCGAATGAGTGGTCGTCAAATGAAGGAACTCTTACTATCTAGCTTCGTGGAAGCAACTTTCTACAGAGTTGCTTCAATCCTGTGAGGGTTTTTGGAGGCGTATAATACAAAGGATTTGAAAGCGGAAAAAGCTTCATATTGTCAGAGTTAAAGCGGAGATGGTTCTGAGGACATTCCAGTTGCTCATGGATGGACTATGGTATAGGGTCTGGATAGCATCGGGAGCTGAAGTGATGCTATTGTGTGGGAGGAGAGAGAGGAAGATGATGTGGAAGGTTGGGTGAGATGTGGTGAAGGAGAAGGCAGAGACCAGAGAGTGGACATGTGGCAAAGAGGTGGTTAAAGGCAAATGATAAAGGGTTTCTTGAGAAGGAAACCCAACAGTTTCTTCAGGGGAAAGCAAATCAACAGTATTATTTGTTTAAGCAGTTGAGGATCTTAGAGTTGCAAGATTGAATGACCAAGAAATCATGTGCAGAGGCTTTATCAGCCGGAGAAACCGTGCCCAACAAGTTTAGTGGACAGGTGGAAAATTTTAAAGTCTTGGGTAATGTGCGGCGGGCGTGGATCGGGTCAGATCAGTTTGACCCAAGGAGAATTTTAATTTAATGGCACATGACTCTATTATGAGTCAAGTGCCTCGTTCCTTTGGGGCTTTGGGGGATGGTAATTGTGGTGTATCATCGTCTCCCTTGACCAGAATCCCCCCCAACAAGCTGGTCTAGTGACCTCTGTCTGAAGAAAACTAGACCGCTCTAGATGGATCAAACCCAAAATGCAATAGGGATTTGAGGGAGGACTCTGACAAAGACAATGAATGGGAGAACATGGAACTTGATTGCAATGAGGAAGTAAACCAACCCTCTAGCATTGGAAGTCTTGATTTGACCAAAGCTCAAAAAGGGTTGAATGATGATGATTTGGTTACAAAGATTTTGTTTGAAGAACACTCCTCGTTTGTTGCTGTACAGTTGAAGGATTGTGGTTCTGTTGAGGTCTCTATTGACTACGATGTGTTCGTGACTGTGGTTGGGGGAACAAAATTGATGACCAAGTTAAGAGCCAAAGGATGAGTGGTAAGACGGGAGTTCAGATGTATCCATTTGGAAAGCAAAGAAGCACACAAGGGATACAACACTTTGTAGTAGAACAGGGCTCACTTCCGAAAATTTCCAATCGGCTAGTGCTTGTCGAGGACTTGGCTTATGATAGAGTTGAACAGGGAGTTCTTAACCCTTCTCCTTCTGTTGTCTCTGAGTTTTGTCTCCCTATTGCATCTCAAACTAATGCTTACTCCACTGCTTGTGTGTCCTCTACTGTTCTTGTAGATCTGGTTGTTGCTCAAAATCCCTTGGATGCTGAAAATCATGTTTCCACTACGCTTGGAGATGAATTTGAGCTAGGAGGTTGGGGGTTAGTGGGGAGAGGAAGGTAGAATCACTGATTCGGTGCTTGTTAGCAAGGCTAATCTTATGGTTGAGGATGTGAGGGAGACAATCAACTTAGATGCATAGGCTACAGAGAGAAACAAGCCCCCCTCGGAAAGTAAAGTGAAAGTCCAAGAAGTTGGTAAGAGACAATGGGATTCAAGGGGTAGCTCAATAGGAAAGATGAAGAAGTCTACTTTAGGGAAGTCGTTAGTGGTGAAGGCGTTTGCAAGAAAGGAAAAATGAAGGGGAAAGGGAGAAGAAAAAAGAAGAGCGAGGTGGAAAATCTGATAAGCGAAATAGTATATGATAGAGAGGAGAGCAAGAGGAAAGAAATATGAATGGGGGGCTTTTAATGGGATTGGAAGTTGTGGGTTTCAAGTTTAGAATCAACATGATTTTAAATTGGAATGTGAGAGGTTTAGGCAATGCTAAGAAGAGAAGATTGTTAGAGAAACTCTTATGAAGGAGAAGCCGGTTGTAGTTTTGTTACAAGAAACAAAAATACAGGAGTTGGATAGAAGATGGATCAGGAGTATTTGGAGTGCTAAGGGTTTAAGTTGGGCTTGTGCCCCGTTGTGGGGAGCTTTTGGAGGCATCCTGACTATTTGGAAAAATGAGGAGATAGAGTGTGTGGAGGAGTTAATAGGACAATTCTTTGTTTCAGTAAAAATCAAGAGTGGATGATGGTAAGTAATGGACTTTGACAAATGTTTATGGGCCAAACTCATATGAGACGGGGTTCAACTTTGGGAAGAGTTTGGTGCAGTTAGGGGTTTGTGGGAAGAACCTTGGTGCTTAGGTGGTGATTTCAATGTGGTACGGTTTTCAGGAAATACAAATAATCGAAACCACATAGTATGGTGAAATTTAATGAGTTTGTGGATACTTTTGAGCTAAAAGAGATTCCATTGCTACAAGCTGATTTTACTTGGATGAATTATCAAGATTCCCCAATTGTTCAAAACTCGACATATTTCTTTTCCCTGTGGATTGGGAGGAAATGTGGGAGAATCTGCCTTGTAGAGCCTTACCTAGAGTTACCTAATCATTATCTGATTTCCCTAGTACAGGAAGCTACCTTTGAGCTAAAAGAGATTCCATTGCTACAAGATGATTTTACTTGGACGAATTATCAAGATTCCCCAATTTGTTTGAAGCTAGACATGTTTCTTTTCTCAGTGGATTGGGAGGAAATGTGGGAGAATCAGACCTCTAGAGCCTTACCTAGAGTCACCTCAGATCATTGTCTGATTTGCCTAGTAAAGATGCTACTTTGGGAGGATCCTCACCCTTTAGGTTTGAAAACATGTGGTTAGAGGACCCTTCGTTTGGGGAGAGGATCAAAGTTTGGTGGCAAGAGGTAGGGCATAGGGGATTGAAGAAAGGCATCAGGTTTTTGAGGAGCTTAAAGAGATTAAAAGGAAAAATAAAAGCTTGGAATAAGGACCTGTTTGTAAAGGTGGAGTCAAATGAGGAAATCTGCTCAAGGATTGTAGAGTTGGACTATTGGATGGAAAAAAAACTTGAGATATATTATCGGGGAGGAAAGAGAGGAAAGGTGGAGGCTCAAATATGAGTTGGAAGAGGTGCTAAGGAAGGAGATCTCTTGGAGACAAAAATCTAGGTGCACATGGTTATTGGAGGGGGGTGGAAACACAAAATTCTTTCACTTGCTGGTAAGTGGTAGGAGAAGGAAGAATCTAATTAAGAGGGTAGAGTTGAATGGTCAAGAGATAACAGTAGAAGTTGTTAATAACAGTCTTAGATGAAGAAAAGTAGAAGCTGAAAGGTTTCAGCAGTAGAGAAGAAGAGAGGAGAAGAAAAGAGAGTGGGATGTCGCCAAAATTGAATAAATCTGGCCGCAACCCCTCTTTGAATTATATACTTAAAAAAATAAAATAATGAAAGATTACAAGAATGCCCTTAGTAGGGTGGCTACTTTAAGTAGCTGAACAGTCACAACTTAAAAACATAAACTAATGGGCCTAAAGCCCAATAACTTCCTAACTTAACAACTTAAAAATAAAAAATAAATGACTGGGCCCAATAACTTGAAATCGGCCCAACTCAACACTCCCCCTCAAGTTGGGAGTAAATGTCACACATTCCCAACTTGTGTAGATCATGCTCCAGCTTGTTCCTTGCAACACCTTTTGTGAGAACATCAGCAAGCTGCAAATCAGAAACAATGTATGGAAGACAAACTTCCTCTGAAGTCACCCTTTCTCTTATGAAATATCTATCCACTTCAATG